CCCTCCACCAGTGCGCGTTTCCCACCACAACGGATCCCAGTATCCCTTCCCCCCCAGCCCCCATTCCACCCTGCCTCTGTGGCAGGGCATTTCCCTCTCTCTCCTTTTGAGTGCTGTGGTCTGTAAAAGAGACATTGAGTGACAATCATATTTGGTTGATAATCTACCCTCAGCATGCTCTCCCATCGTGGGCGGATCCTCCCAAAACCCTTTATTTGGTGCTCCCTTCTCTTTCTGAGCTCCCTTTTCCCCTAACATGTGTGGTTGTCCTCCGGGTCATTGAGTAAAATTCCTGGTACTAATCTCTGCCATACTTGGGTGTTAGTTTCCTATTTTGTTACTTTATGTTCCTCAGATGAATGCAATCTTTCTATGTCTATCCCTTTCTTTCTGAGTCATTTCGCTTAACATGATACTTTCCATGTAGTACCACTTGTATGTAAATTTCATGACTTCGTCTTTTCTAACAGCTACATAGTACTCCATTGTGTAAATGTACCAGAGTTTCTTTAACCAATCATCTGTTCTCGGGCACTTAGGTTTTTTCCAGATTCTGGCTATTGTAAAGAGTGCTGCAATAAACAGACAATTGCAGATGTCACTTCGGCTATACTTTTTTGCCTCTCTGGGATATATTCCCAGGAGTGGTATTGCTGGGTCAAATGGGAGCTCAATTTCTAGTTTTTTGAGAATCATCCATACTGTTCTCCAAAAGGGCTGAACCAGTCCGCATTCCCACCAACAGTGAAGGAGTGTCCCTTTCTCACCACATCCGCACCAGCACCGGTTGCTTTTGTTTTTGTGGATATGGGCCAGTCTCTGCGGTGTGAGGTGATATTAGTGAATCACCGTGAGGTACAATTACAAACTTACGAACTTTTGTAAGTTTGTAAGTTTTGTTTGTATCACAGTCATACAATGATCGTTTACACATTCCTCCACCAGTGCCCATTCTCCCCCAGCAATGTTCCCAGCATTCCTCCCCCCACCCCATCCCCCACCACCACAACCTGCCTCAGCGGCAGGGCATTCCCTTTTGTTCTCTCTCCTTTTGGGTGTTGTGGTTTGCAATAGAGGGGCCATCCTGTTTGGTCTTTAGTCTACTTTCGGCACGCATCTTTCAACCTGACTGGTTCCTCCCAACATCCTTTATTTGGTGCTCCCTTCTCTATCTGAGCTGCCTTTCCCCCCAGCATGTGAGGCCGGTTTCCAAGCCATGGAGCAGACCTCCTTGTCTTTATCTCTACTGTTCTTGGGTGTTAGTCTCCTATTCTAGCAGCAGATTCTTATGTGTATCAAGTCTTAAGTTTATTATAAAATAAACTCTATAAAGGCAAATAGAGTACATTCTTCATTTGGAGGCTCCCCTGCATCTCATTTCATCTCGCTTCTCTCTAGAGAAATTTATATTCTCTCTTTAATGTCTGCCCCCTCTCTCTTTATCTCTTTCTCTCTTCCCTCTTATTTCCAGAAGAAAGATACTTCTCAATTTGGGAATCTGGAAAGAAGTTAGGATTGACTTTTGTTTTCCTGTAAAGAGCAATTCCTAACTCCTTCCTGAGGCCAGTAGTTCCTGAGAACTCGTGTGGCAGGTGTAAGTTCTAACACCATCACGTTCATGTGGACCTTAAGTGCAATTTCACAGTGGCCCAGTGGGTCTAGTAGATGCTAACCTCCATGCTGTGTTGGTGGTCCTGGCCAACTTGATCAGTCTGAACTGTCCCTACTACCACCTGATACCCCCATAGCACTTCCTGAGGGAGACTGAAATGGGTGCCTCTAACAGAAGGTGGTAGCCTTCTCACTCTTTTAAGGCTATTCATCTCTCTTAATTCTCACTTCACTCAAGTCAGGAGACTTGCAACTTTTTTGGAGCTATCCACAGACCATCTTCTTTTGGGAATCCTACCTCCCACTTCTCCCACCTCTTTTATTATGATTAGCAGTCCTCAGCACCTAGCAGATGGCTGGAACAAGTTCAGGAATAAGCATTTATCTATTGAGTGGATGACTTAAATTGAGATAGTGAGGATAAGGTTGTGGGAAGCAATATCAATGGGAGAAGATTACCAAATAATTCAATTGTAGGAAATTGAAGGAGAAAGTCCTTTTTTATTGAACCAGGGAAGATGCAAATTTGGGAGGGTTGAAGTGCCACATGGTTTTAGGGATGTGATGAGGGGTGAACAATTCAGGGCATTCTTATTTTGTTTACTCTGGAAAGTGGGGAGTAATATCGTCAGAGATCAGTGCTGTCAGGGGAAGAAGGCAATGGTCATGGGAAGTCAGACAACTTACAGGACATTTAATTTTTTTTGAAATTTTTAAATTTGTTTTTCTAGAGCATTACCAGCTGTTCGTGATCGGATTTCAGTCATACAGTGTTCCAACACCCATCAGAGGACATTTCATTTTGACACCATTCATTAATTTTTTTCATATTGATTTTCAAGATATTTCAAATATATAAAAGCATATTAATAGTTCTAACAAGGTCCTCTAGCTGTCCAAATATGTACTATAAGTATGAATTGTTGACTTGTGCCCACATTAGTATAAGATTTCTAAAAGATAAAATTTTACCAAAAAATGCTATCTACCTTTTTTTTGCAATTCTTTTTTTTATCTTGCATATTTATTTTCTTAAAGGTGGTGGATATCATTGTCATTTGGATTTAAAATGTTCATTATAACATATCTATGCATTAAAAGCAATATGATATTATTGCATTTTACAACTTTTAAGCATACTATTTTGTGTTTTAGGTAAATCATGTTGATGCATATAGATCATTCATTTCAGCTATAATAGTTGTACATTGCTTGTATATACCAGAAAGTACTGATCCATGACTCTGAATGACAATTGGGTTGTTTCTGCTTTCTTGCCATTAAAAAATGCTTTGTAATACTCTTCCTCTGAATATGTCCTGTCCCCGTATTCAAGAGCTTTTCAAGGGTATTGTAGAGTTTATAGGGTTTGTTAAGGTACTAGCAAAAAAAAATATAAATTTGTAATGAAACAGTATGTCAGGCGCGTGTATATTCATGCTGGTAGTATAAGTGTGTGTGTATGTGAGTTTATGTGTGTGTATGTATGTATGTGTTTGTGTGTAGGGGGTCAGAGAAATAGTACGTATGGTAATTGAAAGATTCATTTGGTGGTGGCGAGGGGGTGTTTGGGTAACACTCGGCAGTACTTAGGGACTATTCCTGGCTCTGTGCTTAGGATAGGCCCGAGGCAATACCCAGGGGACCATATGTGGTTCTGAGGATCAAACCAATCTTGGCTTTCTACAAGTTTACCTTAGCCCATGTACTACTTCCCTGATCCCAAAAAGTAATGAAATTCTATTTATTTATTTATTTATTTATTTATTTATGGCAGCAAGCTTTAACAATAAATGGGAAGTTTGGGGGCTAGGATATGTGAAATATTGGTATTTAAAATTTTGACTCTACAATATTTGTGTTAATTATAAGGTATAAGTTAATTTTATCTAGCAGAAATAAAGTGGAGCTGAACATAATTGTACCAGACATTAACAAAACTAGGATGACTGAGTTCTACAGTCATATATATATTGTCATTAAATTCATCCAGGGTAAGAGTAGTGAAATCACCCCAGATGATGTCACTCAATTTGAAGGGTCTCTTTTGCCAGGTAGCAGATGGGATATAGACTCTGAAGGCTCAGTGTGTGATCTTTGCTGAGAGAAGTTGGGAGCAGTCTTTCTCTTGTTCCTTTTTCTTTCATTCTTTTTCCTTTGGCAGGGAGATGGCTTTGGAACAAGGAGTGCTTGGAATTAAGACGAAGGTGTTAAAGATGCAACGGTTCCTGCATATGCTCAGTCTGATAACTGGTCAGGGCTGAGCCAGAGCAGATGGCAAGGAAGACAGAACTGCAAATAACAATTCATGTCACATTTTACTCTATAATTTGATATTTGGGGATCTTTTGGGATCAGTTGCTCAGTTGGGATCTTCATGACACATTTCTATGCTTATGAAAGCTTCCTTACCCAGAAGCTGGTGAGTCTAATGCAAAGAGAAGTTTGAGGAGAAGTTTGAGAACAACTTTTGAAAACAGCCTTCCTAAATAATCTTTATTTTCATTTAGTAACCAACACACAGTTATTTCCTAAACTAGACTAATAAACAAGATACTATGCTATTCAATGCCTTAATATTTGAAAATTGAATTTACCAGGGACTTTGGCAAACTGAACAGCCCAAATATGTCACGATTACAAAGCAACAAGGAGAAGTTGGAAAGATGTGCAGTGGGGAAAGTGACTTCTATGCAGACAATCCTGGTTTGATGTCTGGTACCACGAACGGTCAGATGTTTGAGCTCTAGTAGGAGTAAGCTCTGAGCACAAAACCAGGAGTAAGCTCTGGGCATCTCTGGGTGTGGCCCTCATACAAAACAAAAACAGAAACAAAAAGGATACAAGGAAATGAGAGGTTCTGCAATCCCTGAATGTTTCTGCTCTCACATTCCTGCCAGTTTTATATTGCCCTTGAATTTTTCTTCTCTCAGCCTAGGTCAGTTGTTACAAGTGCATCTTTATGCCTCTATATCTGGATTTTTTTTTTATAAAGCAAGTTAACCCTTGTTTGCCTCTTGTCTGAAAATGAAAGAAGATGAAAACAATTATCAAGAACGTAGGTGGAGAATCTAATATGTTCGATTAATTAATTTTTTCAAGAGACCAAATTTATTTCTCTCTTGATTGCTTGGATAGAGTCAAAACTCTGTAATTTGGTGGAAAACTGTTTTTGCTTAAGCACTCTAAGTTTGTCTGTATTATTGCTTTTCAAGAAAAAACACTTGAAATCTAATTTAATTATAATAAAGGACTATATATAATTTCTTACAACAGTGTGACAATATCTATATCTATCCATTTTCTTGCTGTTGTCCTAGATTGGCAATACTGAAAGTTATAAAACTTATTTTTTCCTTTTTCTTTATTTGTTGTTATAAGCCAAATCCATGCCCACTTTGTAGGCAAATATTCTAAAACTAGAATGATGCAGAGGACAGTGGCATGGCCCTTGTACAAGGATGATACCCAAATTAGTGAATCATATTTTCTAAATCTAAAAGTTTTCATTGTAAGAAAAAATTTTATCAATGTATAGTGATTAATGTTAACCAGACTCATGTGGTAAACATTTAGTAATACATATACACATGGCTCATTACACTGTGTATCTGAAAGTTATAATGTTACATGTTAATATTTACTTTCGTGAATATTAAGTATTCACTGTGCATCTCTGTGCATCATAAGTGTGCCACTGTCTTACTATGAAAAAAATTGAAGCTTCTGTTGAGAGTTGTAGTAGTTTGCTTTTACTTATGGATATTAAATATCTTATAACTAATCCTCATTGTCTTATTTTTGGGTTTCTAGGAAGGGAAGAGCCTGCTTTGCTGAATTCATTTAAACATCTTTTTTCTTGTGCTTTTGCAAACTTACCTCTAATATCCTTCAAGTCTGAGTGGGATACAAATAGATAATAATAGGTTTTATTTTCTGAAATTTTTCCCCATAATTATCTCTGTTAAGCCCATTCTATCTGGGGAAAATGAGAGTTAAATTATTTTTATAGGACCTCTTCCTATCATTGGAGCATATTTTGACTTGAGAAATTGTAAAACTATGTAGTTAGAGTTTCCAGAAGCAGAGCTGAGTTCATTATGAAGATAATCCTCACTTGCCTTTTGTTTTCCAGAGTGTTTGCTACGAGAAATTGAACTCACTGAGATTTGTATAGATTTGACTCACATTGAAGTCTTGATGCTGGTTAAACCATCAGCAACCAAAGAGGCATTCCAATGATGTGTGCATAACAACACTACCAGTTTACATCTGCTCTTGCCTCTAAGGTTCCTCTTGTGACTACATTCACTTACTCTGAAGGGAAAGGAGTAGGGCATGACATAGAGACCAAAGTTTCCCCCACTATACCTAATCCAATTAACAGTGCATTTTTGAGGGAAGTTGAAGATATGTTTGAACATCAGAATCAAGAGTTTCTGATAATCGACAGATTTCTCTAAAACTGGCCCAGAATCTTGACTAGAAAGAAAAGGTGAGAAATAGGGAAAGACTTTAAGTCTCAGGCTAAGCGTAAAATTTTTCACAGAAGTGACATATTTTAATCAACTTTTGTTCTGGGTTTACAAAGACTTTCCTCAAATTTTCCTAATCCTACTTCTGTCCATTTTGGAAATTTATTTTTAAATGGAATCTATCAGTTCTATTGAAATATCTTCATTTTGATGATATTTCTGGTAAACAAACCCATATTTTTAGCCTTGTGAAGAATAAAATAGGTCTGCACAGAATAGTTGAATAGTGATGTTTCAGATTAAAGAAAGAAGGTGGTTTTTCATCTTTTTTTTAACCCATAGTCTAAAAGTTTGACATAGTTTAAAAAAAAGAAAGGCTTAGATATGACTTGACCTCAAATAATCTTTACTGAATTTTTAACAAACTAAGCATTAGTAAATGGAAACATACTAAATTCATTTCAATAAAATAAATCATGTTTCTAATTGTAAAGTCTGTAGCACTGTCCTCCTGTTGTTCATCGATTTTGCTCAAGTGAGCCCAGTAACGTCTCCATTTTGAGACTTGTTGTTACTGTGTTTGGCATATCAAACACGTCATGAGTAGCTTGCCAGGCTTTGCCATGTGGGCAAGATACTCTCGGCAGCTTGCTGGGCTCTCCGAGAGGGGTGGAGGAATAGAACTCGGGTCGACTGGGTTGGCCACATGCAAAACAAATGTACTACTCACTGTGCTATCGTTCCAGCCCATTGCTAATATATTTTTTAAAAAATAAGACAGTTGTACCTCATGGTGTTTCACTAGTAAAAATCTAAAAATAAAATAAGACAGTTGTGGAAATGTTGCAAGATAAGTAACTAAAATGTATTATTTCACTTAATCACTTAATCATCACTTAACTTCCCGTTAGTCGTCGATTTGCTCGAGCGGGCGCCAGTAACGTCTCCATTTGTCCCTGTCGCGTGCTAGTGTAGCCCAATGGCATCTCTTCGCTCCGGGAACATGGAGGGCCTCAAACCGATCGTTCATGATCTTGACAAAGAAGTCTGACCATCTGGTAGGTGGGCGGCCACGCGGTCTCTTGACATCCCGTGGAATCCAATCAGTAACAGCTCTAGTCCAACGGTCGTCTTTAAATCTCATTACGTGACCAGCCCATCTGATTTTCGACACCTTGGCATATGAGACAGCGTCCCTGATCCTTGATCGTCGACGGATGTCAGAACTCCGGATTCGTTCTCTCATTTGAGTGAAACGTGTTATTCCAAGCATAGCTCTTTCTATTCTTCTTTGGGAGACCTGAATGGCGTTCTCATCTTGTTTGCGTAGGGCCCAGGTCTCTGAGGCATATGTTAATGCAGGAAGAACAGTGGAATCAAAGAGATGTGCCCGGAGCCGGAGGTTCTTCGTCCTCTTAGCTATTTCTTCGACGTTCTTGAAGGCGTTCCAAGCCGCTCTCTTCCTCCTGCGCAGCTCGGGTGCCAGGTCATTTCTCATGTTGACCTCTCGACCTAGGTACACATAGCTGTTGCATTCGGAGATGGTCGTTCCATTGAGAGCGAATGGGGCGTCAGGAACAAGGCTGTTTCTCATAAACATTGTCTTCGTAAGATTCAGCTGTAGTCCTACCTTTCCACACTCACGGTCAAAGTCGGCCAGCATTTGTGCCGCTTGGCTGATGTTTGGTGTTATTAAAACAATGTCATCAGCAAAGCGGAGGTGGTGTAGTTGCCGACCATCTATCTTCACTCCCATTCCTTCCCATTCCAGTCGTCGCATGATGTTCTCGAGGGTGGCACTGAAGAGTTTCGGTGAAATGGTATCACCCTGCCGCACCCCTCTCTTGACATCAACGATCACTTCTTTGTAGAATGGTGAGATCCTGGTAGTGAATCCGCAATACAGCTCACGGAGGATCCTGATGTATTGGGCTTGAATGCCCTGATTGGCTAGGGCTTCAATGACCGCTTCCGTCTCAACAGAATCAAAGGCCTTCTTTAAATCAATGAACGTTAAGCAGAGCGGCATCTTGAACTCCCGAGAAACCTCAATGAGCTTGGTTACCGTGTGGATATGGTCGATGGTGCTGAATCCTTTGCGGAACCCGGCTTGCTCGCATGGTTGTCCTTCATCTAGTGTTCTGCCAATCCTATTCAGGATGACTCGAGTGAACAGCTTGTAGATGACAGACAATAGGCAGATCGGGCGATAGTTGCCAATGTCATAGATGTCTCCCTTCTTGAACAGTAGTACGGTCCTGCTGGTTTTCCATTGGGACGGAACCTTGCATTCAGACAGGTAGCGAGTGAAGAGCCGAGCCAGTGTATTGATGAGTACTGACGGCAGGTTCTTCAGGTGTTCAGGTCTGACCTTGTCTGGGCCGGGTGCTGTTTGCTTCTTTACCAACGAAATGGCGTGTCGGATTTCGGAAGGGAGAACGTTAGGAACGACATACCCATCCTGTGGTATTTGGTATGTCGGCAAGTGGACATGGCTATCGAAGAGATTTGAGTAGAAGTCATGGATAATCTTCTCCATTGCCGTTCTGGAGGATGTGATGGATCCATCAGGACATCGGAGGGCAGTCATCTTGGTCTTATAGTTGGCGAAGGACAGGCGGGCGCTACGAATACTTTTCCCGGCTTCTGCCGCATCTATCAGTACTTCTGCTCTTCTCTCTTTGAGGTCTTCCTTGATCGCATCTCTGCACTGCTTTGCAAGCTCGGACGTTAGCTTGCGGTTGCCTGAGGCATGCGCCAAACCACGCTGGCGAATTAGCTCAAGAGTTTTCGAAGATAGGCGACTTTTTGTGGCTATCTCTCTCTTGGCGTTCCTCGCACATTCATGGAGGTGCTGAATGTATTATTTAGAAAAGAAAATTGCAAATTAAATATAGATCATCTGGAAATTTCACTGTCACTGTCACTGTCACTGTCACTGTCCTCCAGTTGTTCATCAATTTGCTTGAGTGGGCCCAGTAAAGTCTCCATTGTGACAATTGTTACTGTGTTTGGCATATTGAATACATCACAGGTAGCTTGCCAGGCTTTGCTGTGCGGGCGAGATACTCTCGGTAGCTTGCTTGGCTCTCTGAGAGAGGCAGTGGAATCGAACCCAGCTGGGCCAGGCTGGCTGTGCACAAGGCAAGCGCCCTTCTGCTGTGCTATTCAATTGAAAAGTAATATAAGGAATATTCTCTGCATTTCAACATGTTTAAATAGTTGGAAACAAGTCAAGATATTTGAAAAACTGGATTCTGTTTACTACTGTTGGTTTTGTCCATTAGAATTTCTCTCACTCTCCTTCTCTATTGCCCAAATTAAAATGAAAGAATAGGCAATATGTAGGGACTAGACTATGCCAAAATAGTACGTAAGTAATGGAAGCTTTGCTCATGAAATTTCCCCTAGGTGACTTACATGAGGTGTGGAAGAGAGAGGAGGAAATCTATAGCTTTTTCTCTCTATCCACTTCTGTCAACCCGGGAAGCATCCGGGATATTTAGAAACTGGTGTAAGTCTGCTATGAAAGCCTAAAATGTAGCCCCACAAGACAGCTGTCTGTGATTTCTTCAAATCCCATCTGTTGGTTTTATTATGTCCCAAGAATTCATTGCCAAGGGCCACCCAAACTACCTGCCTGCTTCAGAAATAGTTAATGAGAAATTTGTAAAAACTTTTTTTGCATGTAACAAAGCCAAAAACAAAATAAAGAAGCATCTGGTGGTGGGCTTGTGATTATGGGATTTTAAAACATTTAAACACCATAATTTACAAAGTTGTTATAGTTTAGTTATTTCAAGCATTCAATGTTCCAACACCAATCCCACCACCAATGTGACCTTCCCTAAATCAATGTCCCCAGTTTCCCATCCAACCCTAAGCCTGACCCAAATTTACTTCATAATCCTTGTTACAACAGAATGGCAAATGGAACGATCAGAAAATAAGCCTTCTGTGTTATTGGTTTTGCTCATTGGGATTCTATGCAACTTTCCAATCAAAATTTCCATGCCCCTAC